TCAAATTCTTGCAAGTCTTTTATCAACTCATCAACATAAATGCTCTCAACCTGATCATGTCTAATCTTAGGTGATGCCACTCCTTTTCCATCATCTCTTGAAATTCCAGGTGCATCACAAGCTAGCCCTACCTTATTAAAGATTGCAGATTGGCTTGAAACAATCTCGGGAGTAGGCATGAACATGAATTGTGATATTGAAGTTTGTTCCTGGTTGGTTGGCATGGTGTTCCTCCTTCTTTGAGGTACAAGTTTGTTCTATGACAGGAACAACAATGAAGATACAATAAAAATAAACTTAGCAATTTTCTGTAATGGGACTATAAAAATTAAACTGAATCTTCAATACATTACCAGCATTTCGCTAAGAGTCTTATCTGTAATGGGACTTATCATATCATTCTCATACCAATCCTATCAGAAAAAGGCAATCATAGTAACATATTATGAATGATGTACAAGTAAATCTTAACATACTGCAAGGAAAAGTTTAGTGACTTACCTCAACAGGTGCATCATCTCTTTCATGATACCTCTTATTGTGGCCAGTCAATCCACATACACTACAAGTCATTTCTACCACATCTTTCCTTTTCGTCTTCGATTTACGACCAATATGAGAAATTACATCTTCTTCAGCTTGTCTTCTTCTTTTCGTTTGCTTTCTTCCTCTCTTAGGTATATACCAGCCAGGAGGTTTGATTGGGAGTTCATCAACATCAGGCCATAGGTTCTTTCCATTTATTGGATTGACAATGTTCTCATAACAGTTCAAATATGTTCTCACCTTATAGCAATCATGAACATATACATCCATCTGAAGGTTATTGTAATGATCTTTAATGGCAGCCACTGCATGTGCACGTGGGATGCTTGATAGTTGCCACCTCCTACATGCACAAGTGTGATTGGGTAAATCAACAACATACTCTCCTAATGGACATACCACGGATGACTGAGGACCCCCAGACCATTCTACTTCACACTCATTTGCCATGTCAATGATCTTGTTTAACTTCTTTTGAATTTTTGGACACAATGGTCCTTCAATGTCAATGAATTTGCATCCTGATTTACACACCTCTTGTACCCTTTTGGCGTCGTTAACTTTGAATCTAATATTAGTCCTACTCATAACCCCATAGTTTCTTACTACTTTCTTGAACTCCTTAATGTCCGCAAACATTATTGAAGATAATATCAAATCAATATTATCTTAA